GCAACATTTAAACTCATTCATGACATCTGCGAAATTAACGCGGACTCTTTCATTTCGTTGAGTGCAAGTAACGGGAACAAAGGACGTGTGTCTTTAATACATTGTTTTATTTTAGCAGAAGTAAATAATAAAGAAGGAGTGTGACTTCAATAAACAAGGGAAATTCGTCATTTACTAGCCTTAGAATACCTACGATTTACTACGCGTAACTCAACCAACTTGAGCTCAAATCGTACGCAGTACATTCGCTCAGCATCGTGAGAAATCGTTTCTTCTTATACACCCGCAATCCGGAGATACAGACTAAAACGTACGACACGATTCTTCATTCTGTTGCCAGCAAACTGAAATGTATAAACCGCCTATCTTAAAACAAAAAGCAGCTACTAACGACTCTTGTGCACTCTTGCTCCCTCGGCGATGCGGCGAGCTGCCTTTTGTTTCAAGTTAGGCGGTTTATACATTCAGTTGGCTGGCAGTTGGAGAAGGCGCGCAAGTTTAATAGCTCTTTTATATCGTTATATATAACCCCTCCCCCTTGATATCTATTTCATATCTAACCTCTCCTTGATATCTAATTTATATCGATCCGCCGCTTTATATCTCTTTTATATCACGACATTAATTACATTAAAGTTGGAAACGCCCCGAACGAAGCATCACTCTATAGAGGCGACCTGGGCTGACGTCACACGCTTGCAGCGTTTCTATTGCCAAGCTATAGATACTCGCTAGACTCTCAATTAAGCCGCTATTCTAAGCTTTTCCACTGTTCTCGACGTCAAGCACGCGTATATATCGACAGTACGTGTGCGGGTTGGGGTTGCGTGGGTTGTGGGTAGAGTGGAATGCGAGGTCAGTATAAGTGATGAATATCGGCAGAGAGCGCACGGGCGCATGCGGCAGTGAGAAGCGTGATCATTGACTAGCGGCTTGTTTTCTTTATATTTTTTACTATATAATACGTGTACGTGATGTAATTGCGAGCAAATATATATACGCGCGCGATGTAATCATCAAAGAATGCGGAAAAATGATGCACACACGCACAGGCACACACACGCACACGCACACACACACACACCCACGCACACGCACACGCACGCACACCCACGCACACGCACGCACACGCACGCACA